TTGGGAGAGAATGTCCTCCTCTCGAAAGAGAACCATTGTATATTGCTCATTCGTATTCGTTTCTTATCAATAAAAATATATTGTTTGCTAAATTTCTCTTGGTTTGTTTGCTGTGTTTATAACAAGGTGTATCAAATTTGAATTTCTCTTAGTTTGTTGGATGTTTTTGCTTCCAAGGTGTATCAGTGATTTGTGTAAACCTAGGAATTGTAGTGTATGCATATGTAATTGTGTAGAAAGTCACCTCCTTGTTCCAGCATAGGGCATAAATTTTCCTCTTTTGGTGAAGTCTTTCATTTAACTAATTTATTCTAAACCTCTTGTTATTGGCTTGTCAGCATTCTTGAATATATTCAAATTTGGTACAATTAGGATTTCAGTTGTGGTGAAAAATTTTGATCTCTTATTAATCTTATGTGGTCAAAATATTGTATTAATTTATTCAACTTTTTTCCATCATAGCATTATTTTTTGGGCTTTAGTTCTTATATCTTTTGTTTACATCTTAAGGAAAAAAGTTTTTTTTTTCTGAATCCCAAATTCCAGTGCATGATCTACATTCATTACATTATTTTAGTCGCATTAAAAAACCTGAAGTTTGAACAGTCATGCATCAAATTGGTATTAGAGCAATCATGCATCAAATTTGTATTAGAGCTTATAGTTGCATCATCACGTCTGCCGAAAGAAAGACAATCACTTTGATTAATTAAAGAATTGATTAATGATGCAATTTAAATGAAAATTGAGCAGGTTTTAATTCTAGTCAACAGAAACATGACGATCATAAGGTTTAAAATTATATTCCTACATTCAATGACAGGAATAATCTTAGAGAATTTTTAGGGTGGATTAATAATTTGAAATCTTTCTTTGCCTCTAAAACAACTAATTTGCTAAAACAAAATAATGAGCTATGCTCAATCAATTTGGCAAAGCATTGCCACTAAGTCATAATGAGTTAATATGAAATAAAACTTTTCAAAAGCAATAATTTTAATTCATGAGTATCGACAAGAATTTTATAACCAATTTAAAAATTGTAAGCAAAAATATTCTAATATATTTAAATATTATTCAAGGTCTACAAATCTTGTAGTTACAGATGATTTGCTTTTACACTATTTTATTATCCCTGCTTATTTCATTAAAAGCCTTAAACGAGAGTAACAACAATAAAAACATCAAGCCTTTATTCCCCTATATGGGATCGGCTACATGAATCCATTTTCTTCATTGTGACATGTTAAGAGTCAAACTCATTTAAATCTAACAAAGAAAGGTCATTTCTAATATTTTATAACCAAGTCTTCTTAGGTCTACCTCTACCTTTCTTAACAAAAGCCAAATCTAATATATCTACTCTCATAACCGGGTCATCGAAAGGCGGCCATTTTATGTGACCAAACCATCTAAGGTGTCTATCTCTAATCTTATTTGCCACTAGAGATACTCCAACCTTTTCACATATATGCTCGTTTTGTATCATATCTCTAAGAGTAAAGCCACTCTTCCACCTAAGCATACTCATTTATACAACACTTAACTTAATATTATGTTTCTCTTTTAATGGTCAGCATTCTGCACCATAAAGCATTGCAGGTCTCACCACCATCTTATAGAATTTTCCCTTAAGCTTGCAGGGTACTTTTCTATCACATAGCAAACCCGATGCATTACTCATGCACAAATAAAATCTTAAAATCTCGAATCTTACTTTCAAAAATATTTTTATTTGTATTTTTAATGCCCACATCTAATCCTAGAACAACGTTTTACTTTATTTTTCATATTCTATCCATTTATCTTAAAGTTCAAAACTAATAAGCAATATTATGTACATAAACTTTCACTAGGAATAACTTTATAATATTTGAAATCTAAGCAATCCATTTTTTCTTATAAGAAAATAATCAATATGAGTTTTACTATATCCATTCTTATAGGTGATGAAGCTCAACTCTTTTCTTAAAAAAGTATTAACAATTACAAATTCATAAGCTAAAATAAAATCTAATATGATCCAATCACTTTTATGGGTCGCTCCAAACCCATAGCCACCATGTATGTTTTTAAAATCATCTACTCTCTACCAACATGTCCATTTAAATCTCCTCCAATAAAAACCTTTTTTACAAAAAGTTTTTTTGTATTAATTCTTCAAAGTCATTCCAAAATTTTAATTTTGAACACATTCAAACTTACTTGAGGAGTATAAGCATTTATAATATTAATAATCTTAGCATCAATAATAATCTTCAAAGTTATAATTATATCTTCAATTCTATCAATTTTTACAACACTATCCTTCAAACTCTGATCTATAATCAAACATACACCATTTCTAGTACGACTCCTACCAAAATACCAAAGTTTAAATCCTAAATAATAAATCTCCTTAGCCTTTTCTCCATTCCATTTAGTTTCCTCAATGCATAAAATATTTATTAAATGAACAAGGCTACAACTCATCAAAAAAAATATCTAACATTTTATTTAGATCTTTGAAAAGTGAAAACTAAGGCAAGTTATGAGCATTATCTTAGGACCATCACACACAATTCATCTCCCAAACTAAGTCATCTCCTTGAAAGCTCATAAACACACAATAACTAAAACAATAACTCAGCAAAACTAATATCCAACACTCTAATTAGATATTTGAAAATTCATGCATGTACAAGCATTATATTAGGACCATCACACATGTGATTATGGTCCCAAAAGAAAAAGGTCATCTGCTTGAAAATCCATACATACACAATAACATAAAAATCATGTATGATTGAAGTTAATTATATTAAAATATTATTATAGCCCTTTATTCTCTTTGTTAGCCGCCCCTCCCACTCCTTCCTCTTTATTTACTTGCAATTATGAGATGTCATAGAATTTCTTCTAAAGCTCTACTTATGATGGTAACAAGGAATGAGTTTACATATGAAATTTATTACAATATCCCAAAAGATATTATAGAATATGTCAAAGTTAATGAAAGATCTTACAAGATCACTCTAAGTCAATAAAATATCTATTTATGATTTTGATATGAATGGAGGATCTCCAAAATATTATCATTGTTCAAAAAATGAATTAGTCAAAGATATACATTTAAAAATGAGATTCAACCATCTATTATAAATATTTTATTATTTGAAAAATTGGCTCCACAATTTCAACCTACATCATCTCCCGCCATACGGCAATTAGCGTGTGGCTTGCTCAATGATACTTCCGTTACTATCAAAAGTCCCAAACGCACCTCACTTTCCCTTGAAACAAGGAGAACTATGCAACTCCTACATACCATCGCTTATCTCGCTTGCCCTTACATTCCCTTCACACCTATGGTGACTATGATGAGAGGATTCAAGAAAATCTTCGTATTTTCTATTTTTTCTAAAAATCATCACTAGTAGGCCACAAAAACACTCAATCCTATCTTTGAAAATTGGATGTAGATTACAAAATTGCATGTTAATTTTGAGTCCATGTCTATCATGTGCAATGGTTTTATGAGATATTTAGTGCTTAGTATATGATTAGATCCTTTCCTTTGTAATTTGTGTACTTTATATATTATTCTTTTTTATTTCTTATTATTTTTTCAAAATCATTGTGGTTTGTGTATTCAATATTAAGATAATGTAATATTTGTTTTGGTTAGATAATTTATTATAAAAAAATATTGTTTTTAATAAAATTATAATTTTCTTAAATTCTAGGTGCATGTTGGCCTTCTAGGCTTTTTATTACAACACACATAATGCGTTTTAAATAAATAGCTAAAATTAGCCCGTGAGTTAGAATCAACAGCTCAACTGCAAATCTAACAAACAGAAATTAATAACTTTTCAGTAGGTTTCATCACAGTTTTTCCAACAACTTCTCGCCTTATTTTTCAATCAGCAACAGCAGTGCTAAATGAAGCTTAAGCTAATACTTGGTTACCTTGTTTCATATGACTTTCAAATTTGACTTCCAACATAATTAAGAGAAATTTGAGCATCTAAATTATTCTTAAATACAAGTATCAAAATGTCATTTCAATCATTTGACACCTTCAAGCACAAGAAAAATAATCTTAAAATGATCTTACAAACAAAAGACCCAATAAAGCACATTTAAGCCTTGGAAAAAAATAACAAAAAAGGCTTCAAATGAGAGGATATCAAAGCCAAAATGATTATGCATTGTTCACAGGATTAAAGTAACTGATATTTGGTTCCATATGAAGTGATTATAATTAATGATAGGGATGGGGATAACAATGAGGAGCAAATGCATCTAAACTGCCACCATGGCCTCCTTTTCCAGTAAATGTTTTTTTATTGTTTCCTTTGTACAAAATTACCTTTTTATTGCATCAATTGTGCCCGGGGTATACTTTTAATTGTCTTATAAAGTTTTTTTACAATCCATTTTCTTTTAGAAAACCCGCAGTAATTTGGAATAAAATGAAGCATCATGAAAAGGACTTAGGTAGTTTGCCATGGTATTTCTGGTAGTTTGCCATGGTATTTCTGCAAGAACCTCAGTGAGGAACAGTAGAAGAACAACGCCTCTATTTCCTCTAGCAGTTCTCTAAACGCAATTTGACAAGGTGAAAAGGAGTAGGTACGAAATAAGCATTAAGGATATAATCATCAACTTAAATTATTGCATCAAATTATGCGAGTTCTATAAGATAGAAAAGGTTTATCATACACAAAAAATGACTCAAGAAAATGGGTAAATGAGCAAAAGTATTTTTTTCATCATATTATAAAAAAGACAAAAATTACGCGCAGGATGAATTGTAGTTGACAGTCCATGCGATTTTTTGACACAGAAAATGCAATAAGAAGTCCATCAAACAGTATTGCAATCACCAATAAATACTAATATGAATCAAAAGAAAATCTGAAAAACAAACAAATGAATTGAACATAAGTGAAAATGAAGCTACATTATTAATAGAAACCGTATAAACGTGCAAGAACTATAAGCTTAAAACTTACATTATGGGATGACCATCGCTCCTTACCGCTTAGCTTTAGCAAATAATTTTGAAGCTTTTCCATCATATTTCTGTATTTAATATCTCTCTTCTGAATTAGATCTTCCATGACATTTATGTCAAAAATTAATGGGTTCGATAAAAGATCCAATTCGCTTGATGAATCAACCCAGAATGGAAGTATCTCTCTGAGTACTGACAAATCACAAGGGACATTCTCCCCTGAGAAAGAAAGGTCGCACAAGTCAAGCAGTTTCAAAAGAACTTGAAGTTGTTGTCCAGCTCGAAGTAGTTGATAACAAACATCCTTCAAAAAACAAGGAATAGAAACTCCAGACAGTTCCTGAGATTTATAAATTTGTTAGAAATACAAGAAAATCATATAATACGTAAAGCATAAAAGTTATGGCATGACTTCATACAGTACATGCATGATTTATTAAAAGAAAATATACCTTGATAGTAGCTAAGGAAAATTTAAGAGAAAGAGAACTAGCATCAGTGGTTGTTGTGGTATCTGATGATTCAACAAAAAATTCCCCATAAGGATCATCAATGGTAGCTCTATACATCCACAATTTGATAAATCCACAGTAAGGCTTATAAGAACGAATAAACAGATACTTGAGAAGGGCATGATGAACTGGGTCTGCATCCTAAAATTTCCACATTAGTTAATTAGTCTGAAAAAAAATAAAAACACCATGAAGTCCATGCATTTTGTTGTGATGTAAAAATCTAGATACAAGTGCAATCAGCTAGTAAAAGGAGCAGGTTAAAAACTGATACTTGAAGTTGCAGTATTATATCCTGTTTCAGTTTTCTCAGTCCAAATTAATAAGCAAAGGCCGCTAATCTAAAATTTAGCAAACTTAATGACAATTAATCAACTATCACCCCATGATACATCGTAATGGCAGTTCTTCAATACTTGAAGTTAGAACAACTGAAAAATTAAATGTCTAAGGAAATATCTTCTGATGATTGTTTTTTTTTTTTCCTTCAAGTTTATAAATCATAAACATTAACAAGTTTATAACATATGATCAACATTAAAAAATTCAAGAAATGTCAATAATAAAATCAAGGGGAGAGTACAGGAACAGGGACAATAAATTACAAAAAAGCTGGCCCTTCTTGTCTTTCCTATCAAAATATTCAACTATTCATCAAGGAATTAAGTACTACAAAAAATGAAGAGCAAATGCAGCGGAAAGAGTTTCCTGGCTTACTTGGAGCTGGATATACAAATAGGTAAGTAAGTCTGCTCCTCTTGGAAAATTATGAAAGTCAACAATAGAATCCAAGCTTAGGACCTCAATAAAAGTTTGGGAAAAGCAAATGCTTCCAAGAGTTTCAATGTGCATTCTTAATTCCTTGGTATGCAAATAGATCTCCATAAAAGTTATCTCTGGATGAACAACACTTGTTAAAGTGCCTTCAACTTGACAAATGGGAAAAGATTCTCCCTTGCACTGCACCGAACGTCTCAATTTTATCGACGCTGATAATGTACTCAATGCGCAGAGATAACCTTCAAGAAGCTTTCCAATTGCAACAGCAAATGCTTGGTTGACCAAACTATAAGGAGGGCATTCCTTCATTTCAATTTTACCTTGTTCTCGATTTGATGGAATCAGAAAATTTTCAGTATTGTTCCTTCTTACTGAATTAGCATTATGATCTGTGCCAAGGAAATGGCTAATAAATTCATGAAGGAAAAAGAACAAAAGACCTGAATGACTAATAGACTTGAGCATCCTTCCCAATGCATGGGTACTTGATAACCGGCACCACAAGCTTGGAACTCGACAATAGCTCCTATCTGCTGGGCTTGAGCAAAATGGAAGTGAAAGTTTGTCAATCTCAATAATCGATGACTTCACACCCTGCAGTGCATTTATAACCAGTCCCACCAAACTTGCTTCCTGCAAACAAGCACAATCAAACAAACTTGACATCAATAAATAAAAGCTTGTAATATGCTTACAAACTTCTAATTAATGTTCAATAATTCATTAAAACATGGCAACTCCTTAACTGTAAAACAATAACAAAGCATGGAACTGAAGCCTCCACAACAGATATATATAATCAAGGCCTCATTAACTAAGAACCAGCTAGGTGCTTCATAGGATCCATAACATGCAACCCTTTTAACATTTAGTACATATTTGATTGCTTTAAATTTAATAACAACATTCTATAAAAAAATGAATTTTGTTATTTCTATCCTTTTTTTGGACGGACTTAAAAATCAGTCAGAGCAAAATAAGGGGGTATGAGGAAGAAAAGAGGCAATAGATCTGAAGTTCACAAACCTCTAAAAAAAAGACTTTTTTTATAGCAGACAATCCAACAAAAAATAAAACCATAATGAGGCTGTATGAGCTCAATAGGATCCTGCACATTGCTGGCAGCAGCAAGGTCCCACTCAAAGCTGGTGAGAGCCTGGCGAATTCTTATACAACATTAACAAAATCTCCCCTAACTCTGGTCAGCTTTCTACAAAACTCCTCCCCTCAACACTGGAGTTTGAATAGGGCCCGAGCAAACCCCATTAATCACAAAACCAAAGAAATCTAAACATATGAATACAAATTACATCCATCGCATCAACATTTGCCATATATCCATAAAACCACATCCAACCAAGCAAAATAATTTGGAAATATAAAACATTTCAAAATGCAGACTTCACAGAAATTATAAAGATAGTCCGATTAAATAAGAATACTGAAGTCAGGGGTTTTGACTAATTTGAAGACATTCAGTCTATACATTTATAGAAAGAGCTTCAGGAAGTTAAGGTAAAATTTTTGCTTTATTGAGGGAATAAATGCTACCGCACTTTTCTATAATTAGCACACCATTTCCCACTCAGAATTCAAATTGAAATATACACCATGTAAATTCACGACATTTCGACGAATTCGAAAAATGGATTAAGGGGTTGAATGTACTCACGGAGACAGCGGATAGGTCGTACATCGTATCTTGAGGTCCTTGCGCGGGATCGATTGTCCGAGCAGTTCCACTCTCGGAGACGATTGACTCCCAGGTCTTCGGGGCGACCCAGGGATCGTCCATCTTGAGATTACGGAGCTGGCACTGGAAGCTGGATTCGACCTCCATTGAGGAACGAATACAGCACTCTGGGGTTAGGGTTTTGGCAATTCTCTCCTGCGTTAAATCTTGCAACTGAGGAAATGGGAATAAAGCGATCGACCCATAGTCCCATACAGTCCCATACACCCGTGAGCGGGCATAGCAAGGTTTTTCAGTTTTTATATAAAATTTAAGTCTTTGTATTTATATTTTTTATTAAAAATAATTTAATTAAATTAATAATATTATACCCCTCTTAAAATTATTATAAACTAATATTATATTTTTCTCTGTTTTTTTATTATTTAATATTAGAAATAGTATTAATGTTTGAAATATGAATGATTTTATTAAGTTTATAATATTTTTAGAAAGATTTTATTTTATCAAAAGCATTGAATTGATTTTGATTTATTTTTTCAATAATTCAGAAATATTAATATTTTATTTAAATCAGTTTCTTATTACCTTCTAAAATATTTTTTTAGTATAATTTTTTAAAACAATAAAAAATAACATTTAAACAATGTTTCAAACAAAATTTAAATCCAATCAAAATTGCACAAATCTCAATATACCTTCTAAGAACATCTCTAACTGAACTGGATACTATCATTTTGCAGTTCCATAAGTTGTCCACCCGAATGACATTTACAACCACTTTTTTGCGGTTATAAACAAATATTGATGTTGCATTATTCACAAACATATTTTAATTATGAAATTATCCTAAAATTATTATATTTTAAGATATTGATCCCAAATATATTAGTTTAATTTTTGTTATTAATTTTCTAATTTTAATATGTTCATTTTTTATGAAAATAAAGATGACAAAGAATATAAATAGAATACTTTTTGTGTTAGAAATGAAATTTGATTAGAGATGAATTACCTCTTGATATGATTGCTACTGTATTTTGTAGTGAAAAATAAATTTTTCAGTTTTAAGATGCCCTGAGAATTTTCATTTATCTTATACGAACTTCCATTTAGATTTTAATGAAATTATTGAAAATATGATGATAAAATATCAATGTTGTACCCACTTGTTCTAATTTATTACTAATACATCATCAAAAAATTATCTTGATGGGGCACGAATCTCGATGCAAAATTAAGTTGGAAACTTCCAAAATTAAAATTGGGATCATCTGAACTTTTATTTAATAAAACTTATAATCAAATTGAACGTCTCGGAAATACGAACCCAACGACACAAAATTCGACTCAATCTGAGCCCAAATGAGTCCAAATCAAGGACCCGAAATGTTATTGGAAGGTTCGAACCACAATTTGGGTTACCAAACGGTTTCCAAACATTACGTGCTTATAGTCAAATCGAGCGGCTCGACGAGACGAACCCAACGAGCTCAAGATTATCGATTTCCAACATCTTTAACACATTCAAATGTACATCAAACGGTCCATGATCAAGGGATTCAACATCACTCGTCCATCTAACCACTCCTCATTTACCCTTGATCTTTTACATATTTACGGGTCATGTCACTCCATAAATCTATAAAAAAACACTCATCCCTCTTGAAATGGGGATCTAAGCAAGAAGAGATGAAGAGAAGAGAAGGAAGAAGCTTCACCTCGACCACTGCCGGAGTCTAGCCAGACTACCACTTCAGGCCCTCACGTCCGCCGGACCACCGCTTGACGTCGTTGCTCTGTCGGACCACCACTTGAGGCTCTCACCTCCACCGAACCACTGCCTAACATTGCTGCTCCGCTGGTCCACCACTTAAAGTCCTCACCTCTGTCAAACCACCGCCTGACGCCGAGTTCCGCTGGACCACCACTTAAGGGCCTAAGCTACACCAGACCACCGCCTAACGTCGTTGCTCCGCCCGACCACCACTTGAGGTCGTCACCTCCGCCGAACCACCGCGTAACGTCGTTGCTCCGCCAAAATACCACTTGAGGCCCTCACCTTCGCCGGATCACCGCCTAACGTTGCTACTCCGCCAGACCACCACTTGAAACCCTCACCTCCGTCAAACCACCGCCTGACGTCGGAGTTCCCTCGGACCGCCACTTAAGGGCCTAAGCTCCTCCATATCACCGTCTAACATCGTTGCTCCGTCGGACCACCACTTGAGGCCCTCACTTCCGCTGGACCACCGCATAACGTCGTTGCTCCGTCGGACCACCACTTGAGGCCCTCACCTCTGTCGGACTACCGCCTAACGTCGTTGCTCCGCCGGATCACCACTTGAAGCTCTTACCTCCGTCGAACCATCGCCTGACGCCGGAGTTCTGCCGGACCACCACTTAAGGGTCTGAGCTCCACTGGACAACCACTTAACGTCATTGCTCCGTCGGACCATCACTTGAAGCCCTCACCTCTGTCGAACCACCGCCTGACGCCGAAGTTCCGTCGAACCACCGCCTAACGTCGTTGCTCAGCGGAGCCACCACTTGAAGCCCTCTCCTCAGTCGGACCACCGCCTGACATCGTTGCTCCATCGGGTCACCACTTGATGCCCGGACTTCCATCGAATCAACACCTGAGGCTCGGACTTCCGCCGAGCCACCGCCTGTAGCCCGGACTTCCACCTGACCACCCCTTGACGCCCGGACTTCTACCAGACCACCGCGTGAGGCCCAAACTTCTATTAGGGCACCTCCTGATGCCTAGAGTTTTACCATAGTACCGCCCAACTACAACGATCTAATGAACCCCTGTCCATCACCAAGCAACGGTCCTCCCGACCTCCGTCTCCTACTACGGTCCTTGCGACTTACATCGCCAGAAAACGATCTTTCTGACCCCGGTCTCCTGCCAACTACGGTCTTTCGGACCTTTGTCTACGGCCGACTGCGGTCCTTCTGATCTCCATCACCTCCTATGGTCCTTCCAACCTCCATCACCAAACAACGATCTTTCTGGCCTCTATCCTATAGACTATAATCGTGCCGACTAAACAAACATGTATATATTGTAACTCTCACCATGTAATACGCCATATATGATGTATATTTGTACCATCAAGCCAAGGCCTTTTCTCAAGGAAGGTCCTCAACTTTAATCGATAACAAATACTAGTGTATTCGTTTCTAATTGGGCAAGACCTTGTAGTTTTTTCTCCTTTTCAAGGGCACCTGTATGATTCCATTATAATAGCATCCTTAGTAACTTTATTCTACATTATTCTTTTAATTTTTTTACAACTTCTCTCCGGCGAATTTCTATCGACATTTCTTTTTTTTTTCATCATACGTTATCCAATACCCGTCAATCTTTGGAGGAGTCCAAGGTTCGCGGTTCTACGATCTCTTTGTGAGTTCTTGGTTCTTTATTTTAGTCTTCATATTCCTCTTCCCTCTTCCCCTATACCGCCGGCAATCCCCTCCCTTTCTCCCCAAATCGACGCCCTCAACCCCTCCCCTTGATTCCCCATTACCCGCCACCCCTCCACCCAACAAGCCGCCGGCCACCTCATCAACCCGGCGGCCGGTCCCACCCCACCACTCCTCTCCTCACACTCGACGCCCTCACTGCCTTCCCATTTGCCGCCGGCCTCCCCTCTTGCTCCCATTCAATTATGATGATTTCAATTATCATAACTCCCTTCCTAAATTAACTCAAGCAATTAAGGGAGAGATTTAAGTAATTTGAAATTCAAATTTGAATTTCAAATACTTTCCTTATTTAAAAACCCAAATAAGGAAAACTTTAGTCATGAATGCGATAAATTAACTTGGATTTCTTATTTACTTTCCTAGTATACAAAGATCTATTTGGAAACTCCCAAAATCTCTCCATAATCCTTCTCTCCCCTCATGAAGCCGCCGATCCCATTAATGGGCATCACCATGGTTTTTCCTAATGAGGCCCTAGCTCTCATTTGAATTTTGAATTCAAATTTTGAATTACAATTCTTCCCTCCACCCCATTATTTCCTTTAATTAATTACCCTCTTTGGATAATTAATTCCAAAAGGAGAAATGAAAACCTCAAATCCCCTCCACTAACCCTAGCCGTCCCTTCCCTCATCCCGCCTAGCCCAAACTGGCACCCCTCCTACTTTCTCGACCACCAAATGCCGGACCTCCCCTCCAAGGCACACAACAAAGAGTCCTCCCATGTCCATGTATGGCGGATCCGAAAGTTGATCACGGATTCATTTATAATTCTCAAGAGAGAATTAACATCATTCAATCACCTTTCTTCGATCCCGGATTTGGATCCGAAGGCACCGTCGAAGGATACGTGGAGCGTATTATCTTCACTTTGGCGGACGTCATCGAAGAGCAACAACCAATAGGATCGTGGAAGATCGCCGGACGACCACCCGTCTCTCCAACTCCGGCCAACTATTCGTTGAACAAAATTGCTTGCAACCTCTGTCTTTCAGTGGCGTCACTGGGTTTGTTAACCTTCATCCTCCGCTAACCCTACTTCCAAAGAGCGTTCGAGATGGAAACTCGAAAGTAAAAGTTCTATTTGTTAATTGTCGGATTATTATTAATTGCATATTTATCTTGCTATCATCTTGTTATTGTCTTGAATCGCTCTATTAATCTATTGTGTAACCGTATGCTAGAAGCAAGTCAATAACTACGAAAATTGAAAATCCTAACTTAGTGAAACATTAACCTTGTAAATTCATTGCTAAAACAAATTTTTTAATAAAATCCATTCCATTGTTTGTTTCACATCATCTTGGTATCAGAGCATGGTAGGCATGTATTAACCTAGGAGTCTAGCTATCCATTCCTTAGTTTGTTTGCATGCATAACATCACCTACACTTTTATCTTCCTGGTTTTTGTTTGTTGTCCAACAAAAATTTACACCATTTAGTGACATTTAGAAGAGTCTAACTTGGTGTTTAAGTGTTATCCTCACTCTAGAGACCTTCCTAAACACTTAGACAACTTAATTCCCTATTGTAGTTTGCTGTCCAAGCATTTCCTGCAATCATTTAGTGAGCTTCAGGTTAGTTCTTAAGTGTCTTAGTGTTGCCCTCAACCCTACAAATTTTCTTAAGTGCCTAGGATACTTAAACCACCATTGTAGCTTGTTTTCCAAACCATTCCTGCACCATCTAGTGACCTTTAGGTGAATCTGATTAAGCGTTTAGGTGCTGTCCTCAACCCAACAACGATCCTATTT